CTGACCAAAATGTGTAGTGTAAGGTCCTTCAGCAGCTAGTAAGTGAGGCAGTAAGAAAGCGTGTGTGTGAAAAAAGGTAATTGAACTGCAGTGTTTGCATAAACTACGCATGTGTAGCAGTCATTGCAATTACATCCCACTACTCCTTAAGCTACAAGGCATTGCTGTGGGCTGCGTGTGGTTTTTTGGGGGGAGCCTGTATGGCAGTCATCTTCAGACCTCACTCCTGCTTCAGTACTTTTGCCTCTTTTTCATGCACACATAACACGATAACATTGAATGCATGTTACTTTTCTTCTACAGCTTATTGCAGTCCCTGTGGAAAAGCCTTTAAAACAATCTTGTAACAAGTGTGTTAGGGTACCGAACCTGATGACGGCTAAGCAAGTGGTGTGAGAACCATCCTGCAGGCTGGTTACAGACTTGCTCTTGTTATTGAAAATATTTGTTTAATTCTGAGGAGATGCATCAAAACTGGGTCAAAAATGCATTAAATGTCCTGGGCTGGAGGCTTTCCAAGCGTGTATAAACCAAATGCCTCTGCTTAGTACCAAACTCGCACATTCTTCTTGGATCTGCATCTCTAAACTTGTGCTTTTGTGTTCAGTGTGTTGCTATTTGAGTCAAAACCAGTATAGTTTTCAGCCCAGTGTCTGGAAATGAGTCGTAAAGCATTGGCATATGCTCCTGTGCGCTTTGACAACAGCAAGCCAGATACTGGTGTGAGACAACAAAAAGGCTTGCCATGGAAGCCCAATCAATGAACGAACTCATAAAGCTCAGGACTTAAGCCACTTCATGGATTAATGCCTCTAATTGAGGTTACAAATTAAGAGGTTTATGGAACATGTAACGTGCAACTAAGAAAGAAGAAAGCTGGTAGTGCTGCTTGCAGGTAACTGCTAACGTAGCACAGTTAATCTGAAAACTCTTCAACTCCTGGATGTTGATGTAGCTGTTCAGTGATGCTGACCCTGTGTAAGTACAGGAAACCTACCTTCGAGCTCCTTTATTAAGGACACATGAAATTAAAGACTAATCTGGTTTGTGAGTTGTCTTACTGTTTTACAAAGTAATTGGCATGGTTGTCTCTGACTTTTTTCTAAATCTTATCTCCCAGGTAAAATATCAGTACCTAATTTTTGTGGTTCTAGTTTCAGGGCCTGCCTTAGCCTGTAGTAATGCTGAGTTTCCTCGGATCCATTTTAGTAGCAAGTGATGCTTCAATACAGAACAAGTTTCTTCTCTTGCCTTTTGTAGGGCTGGGCTAACAGCACATTTCCACTCGCTGTGCAGCAGAGTGAAGCTGGCTAGTCTTGTCCTGTTACCGTGTATTAAGCTTGAACAAGCCGAGTATCTGTGGGTTTAGGCTGACTGCCACGCAGTTCTAGAGTGGAAAAAAGCAAGTCTTATACACATGCATTCTCTGCATTTGAACTGAAATTGCATGAGTGAATGGGTTTGGAAAGTGAAATCTTGAGGCTCAAGTGACATGTCGGATGCTATTGCAGTCTGTTACACAAATACCAACTTGAGATCACTTCGCATCAGTGTTTTATATTCAGGGAAACTTCTCCAGGTCTGGACATTATCTTGGTTGCTCCAACACCAAAGGTTGCCAACTGACACTGCTAAAATCTGAGTTTGTGACCTAAGGCTGCTGGTTTGAAGCAGTTGGAGCAATAGTCACGGAGCTTACTGATGCCAAAGTAGCTCTAGTCCAGTATGGGACCTTTCATACACAGCTTTGGCCTGGAGCGAGCTTTCAATGAAGTTCCACAAATCCCTCAATTAAGGGTTTTTTTCAGGAAATGAACAATCTTGACTGCACCAGTACCAACATTGCTACTTGAATTGATCTTAACTTGTAAATGGTCTCCTTTTCTTGATGGGTGTTAACATACCACTAAGGCTTTTCCACTTCTCTGCCATGAATAAGTACCTCTTCTGGAGGAGTTGTTCTAACTGTTGGTTTCAATTCCAGGTGGATAAACTGGATGCATCAGAGTCTTTGAGAAAGGAAGAGGAGCAAGCTACAGAAACACAACCTATTGTTTATGGTAATATTTTAGGTCATATGTTGTCAGTAACACATTTATCTTTTAAATCAATACCTCTCTAGATGTGTTTTGGTGGTCCTTCCCCACCCTGAAATGTTCTTCATATGAAATCAATACTAGAGAAAATAGTGCAGGGGCTGTACTAGAACTGTATTACTTCGATCTTGCCCAGTATGCTTTATTTTTATCGAGTATTTCTGTTCTATAACATATAGAACAGAATATATTATTCATAATATATTTAACTGTTCTGTCTTCCAGGTCAGCCCCAGCTAATGTTGACAGCAGGACCCAGCGTTGCAGTTCCTCCACAAGCACCTTTTGGCTATGGCTACACTGCGCCTCCATATGGGCAACCGCAGCCTGGCTTTGGGTACAGCATGTAAGGTGCAGCACAAGTCAGTTTGGAGCTAGCATATTTTCTTACTGAAACTCCACCGTCCCTCCCCGCTTTAACTCATACCAGGGAAAAAGCAAGAGTTCTGCCTCGTGTTCTTGTAACCTTTATTTCATGAAGGACTGTTTTTTCTAGCGCAAACTTTGAATCACTTATGTTAAATCTTTTTCACATTCCATGTCATTTAGACTTTACTTTAAAAGGGGAATAGTTTAAACAAGTTTGTTCAAGTGGGCTTTTGCAGGACTGCTTATTACCATTAAGTCTATTGTGAAGATTCTGATTTGCACTCTATAGTGTTAAACTCTAATACTGAATCTTAAGTTCATTGTATGTGAGCAGCTTACAGTATGTACTGTCTATTCTAAATGCATTTAAGTCTCACTGTATATTCGGAGAAAGCTAAAGTGAAGATACTTGTATTTGACCTTGCAAGACCGCTGACAAGAGACAACACTAATCAGCATATCCTACCCTGGTTGGATTGCATAGCTCTAAAAGAATTTAAAATGCGTACAGACAACCTTGCCTGACTTAAAATGAGTAAAAGTTTTTTCCTTAACCTATGCAGGTTTTTCCAGTTATGCATATAGAAAATGCTAGTGTCTTTTTGCTCACTCCATATGTAACAGATGACCTTATGTTGTGCTGTATCCTGTGCTTTTGTGGGACATTCCATTCAGGAACAGAGCACCATGATTCCAATCTGTGTATTTACTAACCCTGCCCTGAGGTTTGTGTATGTTGGATATTGTGGTGTTTTAGATCACTGTTTTGAGTGTACAGAAGAGAGAATTCAAGCATATTGCTGTTCAGTTTTGTTTGTGCAATTTGAAATTACTCAATTTAAAAATAAATTACTGGACTGTGGACATGCTGCATAGTGGTAGCTTCACTTTACTGTCTTCAAAAGGACCTTCAACCTCGAACCAAGTATTACAGTGCTAGTCGTTGGGGGCATACGAGTGCATACACCTCAAGGGTAGAAGGGGCCATTAGAACAGAAGCAATAGAGACCAGTAGTGGTGTCTTGCACTGAGGGGACAATACAAGAAAATATGTAATGCTTTTTCTATAGATAGATTATGCCAGATGGAAGAAAAGAGCACTTTTCAAGAGTTGGCTGCACTGTGGTCAACTACAGCATCTTTGCCCAGATGATACGTTAGGATCGTAGTAGGGTGTGTCAGTTAAATTGAGATTATGTTCTAGGTATGTAAGTTGCCTTAAATATATTTAGCTTCAAATAAAATTGACTTAAATGTTTCTCAATGAATACTGTCATATTTGAGTGCAATGAATGGTACAGCCCTGGCCCTAGTTGTGGTAGCTCCTGGCTAAGAGATGGAAGCTTCTCCAGCTATTCTCAGTGTCAGGTTCCAGCCCTGAGGCTGAATCCCCCTTGCTCAGCTTGAACTGAGGGATTCTGGCAGGTGAGCGTTACAGCAGGTCAGTGGGGAAGGGTAGTGGGTGTGAAGCTGGGGGGCCTGGGCAGCTGCAGGCTAGAGCTGGGATTGTTTATTCCTTGATGAATCGTGCTGGAGTAAGAAGAGATCTCCCAGGCCCTGCCTCTCACCTGCCTGTGGGCTTAGACCTTCCCTGGGCTGATGAGCAACTGGCCCAGGTAAGATCCCAATGGGATCCTGAGCAAAGCCGCTGCACAGAACTCCTGACTTGGTGCTCAATAGAATTCTCTCTCAAAAAAACAAACAAACAAAAAAACACCACGGCTTTGTTACAAAACTAAAAGTAATAGAAAATCCACCTAATTAGAAGCACAGGTAACCTGCCTTTTCCATTATTAGAGGTAAAAAGGAGCTCTAGGGGTAGAATCTCCATGATTTGGGTAGAATGTGAGTTGTGATCTGACCTCTGCCCAGTAACTTCTGTAGTTGAGTGCTTTCTTAAACCTATGAGGACCTATTAATCCTCAGTAAGATAGGAATTGAGTTTCTTCTTGTGTGACAAGCTATTTATACATGTGTGGGTAACTCCCTGTGTTAGCCAGATGGGAAATCCTGATGTGCTTAAATTCTTGTAAAGGCAGCAGCTCCACAGACCTCTCCAGAAAGGAGCATGGCTTACTTACATCTTCCCTTTATAAGTACTGAGCTGTAAGCCCTGTTTAACTTGTTCTGTCTCATGCATTTCATACCAGTTACAAGGTGTTGCATCAGTCATTGCCTCAGAAACCCTACACTAAGTTCACAGCAGCCATCTCCTGCTGTATGGGGCAATCCCTAACTGCTCTAGCAGCCCACCTATTGTGAATTACAAAATCAATCTAAAAAAAAATCTCATGCAAGGCAAAGGCAGAGGGGAACCTTCTATTTTTGGCATAAAACAACCTTCTCTAATGCTTGTATTCAGTCAATAAAGCAGACAAAGTGTTAATTCATCAACTGTACATGTCTTACAAATGCTTGATTCCTCCTACTTAGGGTAGTAAAATTCAGCTCTGCTTCTTGTAACTCTACCCAGCCTAGCATTTTCCTACCCACTTCAGGGTGCAATGCAGAAGCTAGAGAAACTCATGAACAGCATTACATTTTGCAAGTTTAATTTTTTTACAAAAGAAAATAATATTTTTACTGAGAGCATATGAAACAATCCCAAGTTTTGGATATCACTCCTCAGTACCAACGCACTGGCACTTCTTTGGGCCCCAGCTCAGAAGAGCTTTAGATGCCCGGACACTTTATCCACCACATCAGCCGGGCCCGGCCCGATGCCCAGCACCGTCTGCGAGCCGGGGGCGATCTGCGTGCGGCCGGCATCCCGCACCAAGCTGACGGTGAGGCCCAGGCGCCTGGCCTCGGCCAGCAGCTGCAGCAGCGTCTCCTCGTCGGGCGCCTTGAGCACCACCTTGGGCTGCCCGCTGTACTCCCACTGCTGCAGCACCTCGGGCGTCCTCCTCTGCGCCTGCTTGTAGGCAGCCACGGCGGCGTGGCAGCACTGCGCCGCCACCTTCCCCTTGCCCATCTTCAGGTCGTTCCGCACCACCAGCACCAGCTTGAACTCCCCGTCCTCCCCGGGCACCGTCGCCTCAGGTCCGGCTCCTCCGAGTGGCGCCGCCGCCGCTGCTGCCCGGGCCCGGGACTGCCTCAGGAGCCGGCCGCGGAGGCCCCAGCCGAGGCAGAGGCCGCACGCCACGCCCGCCACCAGCCCCAGCAGCCCCGCCTTGCTCAGCTGCTCCATGGCTGCACCGGGCGGCGGCTGCGGCTGCTGCTGGGCCGTGCTGCGGCTCCGCGGGGCGCCTGCAACGAGACCGGGGCCGTTAGAACCGTTAAAGCCGTTAAAACCGTTACAACCGTTAGGGCCGTTAGAACCGAGCGCTCCTCACCGCCGCCGCCGCCGCCGCCTCCACGCTGCCACCAGGCCGCGCCGCCGTCGCCAGGAAGTGACGCCAGCACGCCGAAGGGGGCGGGGCTCCGCCGGCCGCGGAGAGCGCCCGAGAGAAGGGGAAAGAGCGGGCGGCGCGGTGCGGTGCGGAGGAAGTGACGTCAGCGGGGCGGGAGGGCTCCGCCTCCCACTTCCGGGTTGGCCCGGGCCCAGCGGGAGCAGCCGGGGCGCAGCGCGGTGAGTGCGGGAGGGGACGGGGGGGGGAGGGGGGCACCGCGGGGCCGCTCGGAGCCCCCGGAGCGCCTCAGGCCGCGGAGAAGCCGCCCCCGCTGCCCTCAGCCCGCTACCGGCCGCGGCTCCCCCCTCAGGCCGGCCCCGGGCCCCGCGGTTGCCATGGCAACGGCCCCGGGCCCGGCCGCTGAGGGGCTGTGAGGGGAGGGGGGGAGGGGCGGGAGCTGCCCCAAGGCACCGGGGGGGCCCCGCGGCCCCTCCTGAGGGGAGCGAAGCGGCTGAACGGAGCCGGTGCCCGGGCTCTGCGTGGTGCTGCCGGGCACCTCCGCAACGCCCCGGGGCAGCCGGCGCCGCTTTTGCAGCCTTGGGGTTTTGGGGGCGTTTCGGGGAGCCGAGGGGGTGAGGTGGGGGGGGGGCTGCTCGCTGCAGTGCTGCAAAGCCGGGTTATCCCCTCACAGCCCCCCGAGAAGCGCCTCAGCTTCGGTACCGGTTCGCTCCTGCCGTTTTTTTCTGTGCTGTGAGTGCTGGTGCCCACCAAGGAGCGGGTACCCGGGCGTTGTTACCCCTGAGCTGGGGAGCTGTGAGGTTGCTCCTTTATTCCTTGGAGCGTACCAAAGGGTTTTGATAACATCAGCCTGCCCTTATTTCTGCAGCACGGGATGGACTCTTTATTGTTATTATTTCTCGTTGCTAATAGGCGATAGTTGCACTGATTGCTTCACCCCGTGCTTTCGGATGAGTGTTTGAAATAGCACGTTTATAGTTGTGCAACGGGAGGGTAGCACTGCTTGTTGAGTTGAGCACCGTGCCCTACTTAGCAGGTGGAATCAGTGGTGCTGGGGATTTCTGGGGGAAGGCGGAGGAGGGGGCTTGGGAGCTTTGAAGTGGGAAGTGGCACTGAGAAAGGGGAGGGTGCTGGAAGCGGTGCCAGACTTTGGCTGGGAAGTCTGCGCTGTTTCCACTTCAAAGAGTCTTTTCCTGGGGTTGTCTTTGAATAGCCTTGGAATCTGTCATAACTGTCTGACTGTGTCCTGTGAATACCCATTGTTAGAATGTTAATGCATGCTTTGGGACTTCCTTTTATTTCTTAATAACTTCTGTTTCTAAAACAAACCCAAACCTACTACGCTTCAGGAGCAATAGTTAGAGCAGAGCAGGTTTTTTTCCGGCAGAGTTGTGACGAGAAGCCATCACCTTTGGTTAGACCTTTACCTTCAGTGCCATGCGGAGACGTGTGAGCTGGCTGGACTTTGCCATCTCAGGGGGATGAAGGGCACAGCCTTGAGGCTGTTGCAACACCAAGCAGGGGACACGGGACAGCACCTGGCTGGGTTTGGTGTCACGCTGACCTGACAGACCCAGGGGACAGTAAGATATGAGGCAGGCAGCCTCGTGTGCTATGAATTTGTTGAAAAAATGTTCTCACCTTCAGAGCACAGCACCCAGGCTGAGGGCTGCGTCCACCCTCTGCCAAGGCATTAACGTGCACGGATTTCCCTATAGCCCTCAAACCGAGGATGTGAAAGACACCGTGGTAGCTTAGTCACCTGAATATTAAGTCTTGTTCTGTCCCTGTTAGGGGAGCCGCCCCATTCCCTAAGCTGCCATCTGCCCCCCAGCCCCGCTGCTGCCAACCTGCACAAGGAGCAAGGAGCTCAGACCCAGCCTGTGCCCTCCCCTGGGGCACGACGTGCTGTGCTGACAGTGCTCATGTTCCCAGTTCTGTAGTTTCCTTTCTTATTTAAGGAGTTTCTTTGAACTTTCTGCAAGAACTCTCTGTGAAGACCTGGACAACCTGAATTTTGGCTTTCCTACCATCTTCATGCCTTTTCACCTATGCACCGTGTGATGACTTTATTATACTCGCTGATTCTAGTGCTGGATCTACACAGGCAGCCGTCAGTGTTCGTGGTTCACTGGAGAGCAGTTTGATAAATGCAGCTGTAACAGCAGAATCACAACTTCGCTTAGCCCCAAAAGAAAAAGCGTGGCATCCCTGAAGCTCGTGTGACAACATTAATCCGTGCTTTCCTAAGAGATGCTCCAAAGTCTTTTTGGAAAAACAGAAATTTTAGCTTTAAATTGTAAAATGACTTTGTTTTCGAAACCTTCATCTGGTTAGGAGTTGGAAAATAGGTCTGGTGCACAGGGGCATAACCCACAAAATGCAAACCTGTGGTCTTTAACTGAATTGGTTGTCCTTGCCTTTGAGGGCTTAAACTACTTTAGTTAGAAAAACATTTTTAGAATGGGAATAAATGCACTCATAGGAAAGTAGCCCGTAATAGCTACGTCTGTAGAGATTTTGACCATCTTTCAGATGTGTCCTAATTTATTTTAATTGAATGCTTCCCCTGAGTGCTAAAGGACTGGAAAAATAAAGCAGGTACTTCTTATATTTTCTGTGGCTTTAGGAAAGTTATTAACCTTCAAGTCAGGGACCCTGGCAGCCCTGTATCACATGGTGAGCAGCGTTACCTTACTCTGTAGGGACAGAAGGTTTGGAAGAGCACTCACTTTGGTCTTGAGTGCCTGCAAAGCTAAGGACGACGTCTGTTCTGCTGGCTTTGAATCCAGAAGACGTGGTGAAGAGTGGCGCAGTGTCACGGAGCTGCAGGGGTACGTAACGCTTCGCTTCGGGACTGGTCTCGTCCTTTATCTGAACGTGTTCTTGTGCAGGCAGTCGTTGAGGACTGAAGGAGGTCAGTTCTGAAGGAGAGTGCTTTCAAAACCTTTACTGGCTGAGGAGCAGTGAGCTTACTCCCTGTGTAAATTGTTGAGCATCCGATCTCTGAAACAAAACCGTGCTGCAGATGTGTAAAGCTGTGTGGCTTAGTGCAGTTAGTTACACCTCTGAAGGTTCAGCTTTTGTTCTCTTTATTGTGACTGAAAAGCAGCGACACAACGCGGGGAGCTCCAGCAGCCTCCCCAGGACTTCAGATAGAAGAGACTTGTCCTTTCCTGTGGTCACGGCGTGCAGAAGCATCAGTTCCCATGTTCCAAGTGTTCCAGTGTTCCTGTGTTCCAAGCTCGTTACGCTTTGTTCGCTTCGGCTGCGAAGTGCCAGTCGCAGTCGTGAGGAGCCCTTTTTGTTGGTCCATTTACGTTTTGACTGGCAATAATTGTCTTTTTGTACTTAATGTTATGGATTGCACTGCAGCTGAATAATGGCTTGTGGGCTGTTTGTTCAGCCCCACAAAGAAGTTCTTGTCTGAGCACAGCTCTAGCAGATGATCTAAGCGACTCTGATATCAAAACTGTTCGAAGTTGTTTTCCTCGCTCCTTTAATAGTCCATTTGTATGTTTGCTGCTAACTACTCAGCAGACTTGGGAATTTCGTTTTGGATCTAGGCCGTGTGGCTGTTAGGGTTGATAAGACGCGGGGGCTGTTTAACAGCTGGGATTTCATTTTCTTCGGGCTCTCACAGATTTGTTATAGACCTGAGGATGTGGACGTGGTCACTGAAGGGTAACTCCGTTTTGGCTCACTTTCCTGCTCCAGTTGATCTCCACATGGAGACATTGGTGCAGGACTGGTGGTTCTGATAGGTGCCAAATGGATCAGGGGGCAAACTTCCCGGCTGCACACCCTCCTGTTCCTTATGCTAGGATGCTCTTTAGGCTTTGGTAAACTGAGAAGTTCTTTCTGAACCCAGCAGGCGGCTGGTTTCCCAATCACAGCCCTGCCAAACTTGCCCTGTGGTAGGTCCCAGATCTCCCAGCCAACTCTGTTCTTCAATCTGAGTCCTCAGAGCACCCCTGCAGGGTGCCCGAACTTTGGGAACTTCTTAATGAGTATACGCCCTACCCCAGTGTGCAGGGGGGTTATTTATCTTTGTTGTAAATACTGGTTTGTGCACTCGAGGTAGTGCCAGGCAAAGGTAATCCCAGACTGATGCCTTTCCGAGCAGACAGGGTGAAACTGGCTCTGTGAGCTGAGGTTGGGAAAGCTGTGATACGCGTGTCGATACGTGTGCATGAATGCATCGGGAACCCCAGAGACCGCTGGCTCTGAGTGTCAGTAAGGCATTTAACAGGCTGGGGTGGATGCAGCTCGTGGGGATGAGGTGTTGTGCACAGCCGAGACTTGAGCATCGGGCATGGGCAGCGCTTTGTGTCACCCCAAATTAACTTCCTCGAAATGTAGTTAAGCGAAGTGCAGAGAACAAACCAATTGGCGCTTCAGTTTTGAAGGCTAAATCTAAGGGGGAAAAAAAGATGAATTTCAAAATTAGGAGCGTGTGTCTTCCACTGAAATTTTTTAATGGGTGTTTATGTATACACCAACAAAATGAGACCAACGTTTCCTGAACCAGAAGGGATTTTTTTTGTGTGTGTGGCTTGGTGTAGAATGGCTTCCTAGGAAAACTTGCAACTGCAGGCGTCCAATTTCAATTTTCAAGTGCAGTCACCAGAAAGAAGGTGCTCCACTATTTTCAGGGCCTGACTGTCCTGCGGAAACTGGGAGGTGGTGAAATGTTTGATCCTTGTGTCACTGGAGCGACTGGCCTGGTGTCCTCAGCTGGGTGCTGGTTGAACTCCTCTGCCTTCCAGCATCAGGCTGCTGCCGTAAGCCTGGCCTGAGGGGAGAGGTTTGTGTTTCTGTGGTAGCAGTTCAGAGCAAAGCTTCAGCTGCGAGTGACTGCAGAAGGATGCTGTGGAGCTCTCTCTGTAGCAGGTCAGTCCTCGTTGTCCTTGGCTGAGCCCTTCAGCGTTCTTCAGAGGCAAACCTCTGCAAGGCTGTGCCCTCAATTCCCCTGGTGGTTTGGGTTTTCTGGGGCCCAGGTTTCAATGAATAAAAACTGTAACGTGCCAAGAGGTTAGTTCCTACTAGTTTGCGGTTAATTCCTACTAGTTTACTGAACTAGCCACATTTATATTTGTGCTCATTTCAGAAAGAAGCTGGT